ATGGTCCAGAACATGGAGGCCAGGCTATTAACACAGGTTAAAAGATTTCATCATATTTCCCCCACTTTGATCACCTTACACTGGCTACCTATCCGCTTCCACATTGATTTCAAGGTGTTAACCATTACATATAAAGCCCTTAATGGTTTAGGACCTCAACGCCTGGCAGAGTGCCTTCTTCTACCCAGTTCTACCCATATCACCTGCTCCAGTGAGGCTGGGCGGCTGAGGGGCCTAATGCCAAGAGAGGCCCAGTGGGGGGGGGCAGAAATTGGGCCTTCTCGGCAATGGCCTCTCCCCTTTGGAACAACTTACCTGTTGAGATCCGCCTGGCTCCCTCACTTGATGGCTATACAGGCAGGCCTTCCCTACAGCCATTACCTAGCCCATCTCCCCTTTTTCTATTCTCTCTTTCTTCTTCTTCCTCTTCTTTTTCTCCCTTTTTCTTTTTTCCTTTCCCATATTAAATTAATCTGGATTTTATCTTAGTTTATTTTTATATTATATGTAAACCGCCAAGAGTAGACACGTTCTAGATGAGCGGTATATAAATTTAATAAATAAATAATGTTGATGTAATCAGCTGGTGGCAGCTGAGGGGCATGTAGTGTGAGCTCTTAGTTTGGTGAAATAAGCAGGGACCATGTGAGAATCATGAGTACTGGTCAAACAGTCAATGCATTCTGGATAAAAACCTAAATTTGAGTTCTAGAACTTGATGGTATTATTTCCCAATGTAACTAATGCCATTGCCAACCATGACCAGTAGATCTTTTCCTATATTATCTATTAATGTCTCTGTCCAATGAGAACTGTCTACCCAAGTAATCATTTTGCTTCAGGCTGATACTTTATCATGTAGTCAACATACCTGTTAGAAAACCTTCTCATTTTCTATTCCTATCGAATTTCCTGCTATTAACAGCCCCAGTATAGTGACCCTCTGGGATCTATTTTCTTATGCAAAAGTTCTTTCTAAATACTCTTTTCCCTTTTTGTCACAATGGTACCCTTCGACCCAAAGAACATTGTTCTCAGCATTGATTTATTCTTAGTGGCATTTCTGATACCATCAGGTGTACATCATTAAGTTACCTCATAGCTGTTGGTGAAGGAAACTGCCCTGAACTTGGATCGACCCAGAAAAAAGAAAGGCTGGTCTACACTTTAGGCTCTAAGTTGGGCCATCCTGTCTGTGAAAATTTAAAATATCTGTTTCCAGCTGCAAGCCAGGCACTTGATATACTGCTGATCTACAGCCAAAATGCTTCTAAAATAAATGTAATAAATCTTTACTAATTCTGGGTTACTGAGAAAGAAAATTATTCTTAAAATTGTTGATTGGATCTACGTAATTTTCAAGATATGCTACTAGTCAGTATATACGACCCTTGACTTGGGAATAGTGGAAAACAAATGGTGGAAAGGAAAGGGATCACAATTAGAGATGTGGGTATTCGTATACAAATACAAATACCCCCACAGAGGTGGACATAATGAGGGGCCGACCCCCTGGGGCCAGACTGTCCACTCACCCTTCTGCCACTTCAGCGGGTTCCGTGCTCCCTTCCTATCTCGCCAGAGCTCACAGTCGACTAGCCACTCTTCGACCTGGCAGGGAGGCTCATCGTCACAAGCTCTGGAGTGATAGGACAGGGGCGTGGAGCCTGCAGCAGCACTGGAATGGTGAGTGGACAGTCCCTCGTTATGTCCACCTGTGCGAGGGTATTGGTATACGAATACTCCCATCTCCAATCACAATTTAAACCAGAAATGACTAAAATACATATTTGACTGGTTCTGTGAATAAATCTATGACTGGGTTTGGACAATACTTGCTTTTTAGGCAGAACAATTTTAGCCTGCAACAATACTAGTGGTGTGATGGCAACCCTCAACATTGTTCACAATCCAGAAGAGTGGAGACTGATTCATCAAAGAAGAGTCTTAATGCTGGGAATGTTTTGCCATCAATTCCAGTTGGTCATGCAGTCCATATGAAGGAAACATACAACAAAATAAAAGAACTTTTAAGGTCAACATCCATGGCACCTTTGTGGCTATATGAAGGTTGTTGCTCTCTTGCTTGGTCTGCAGACTGAATACACAAGGTACTGATGTTTGCTCTGTGAAATGGATAGTTGTGCAAGAGATTCCTACTACATCCCGAGAGAATGAGCACTATAACAGTCAATTGAGCCTTGGAGGAAAAGTGTTGAGCATCCACCACTTGTTGAAACAAAGAAGATTTTGTTACCACTATTACACATTTAGCTGGGTCTGATGAAGAACTTTTTAAGGCCATGGACAAAACACAAGCAGTTCTCAAGTATGTCCATGGAAACTTTCCAAGGTTAAGTGAAGCTAAGATAATGGAAGATTTCTTTGTTGGTCCTTAAATTCTTGAACTTCTTCAAGATGATGCAAAAAAATTATGATAAATTATATAAGAAAAAAGAAATATTGTTGCATCAACAAGAAATATTTTTTGAAGGAATCCTTCCCTGGAAATTCTCAGAACAACAATTAAAAAATTTGAATAATCCTGTAGCAATGAATTAAATGAAGCTTGGAAAAAGCAGAAAAATAGTAAGACACCTGGACCAGATGGGCTGCCGGCAGAATATTACAAAGCCTTACAGGAAGAATTGATACCATATTTCCAAAAATTAATAGAAGTTATTGAGATAGGTGGAAAATCCCTGAATCATGTCAAGAAGCCCATATATCTTTAATACACAAAACAGGAACGGAAAGGAACCAAATCAAGAATTACTGACCAATTTCTCTTTTAAACATGGATTATAAGATTTTTGCTTCGATTTTAGCCAATAGACTGAAAAAAGGCTTTAATCTCGATGGTGCATAAAGATGAGACTGGCTTTCTTCCCAAACGCAATAGGGACAAATATAAGAACAGTAATAGATATAGTGCAATATTATGAAGCACACCTAGAAAAACAAATGATGTTGATATTTTTGGATGCAGAGAAGGCCTTTGATAATGTGAAATGGAACTTCATGTTGATCCAATTAAAATGATGAGACTTCAAAGAAGTTTATTTCAAGCAGTGGAGTCAATTTATTTACAACAAAAAGCAAGAGTTAAGATTAACGGTCAAATTTCAGAAGAGATTCAAATTCAACAAAGTACAAGACAAGGATGTCCCTTATCACCTCTGCTCTTTATTTTGACTTCAGAAATATTAGACAAATAAGGAGAGATCCCAAAATTAGAAGCTTAAAAATAAAAGGAGAAGAATATAAATTACAAGCTTCTGACGATTTGGTACTATTATTAGAAAACCTGGAGGAATTGATTAGAGAATTGATAACTACAATTGAGAACTTTGGAGCAGTTTTAGAACTTAAATTAAATTATGAAAAAACCAAATTCTTGACAAACAATATGACACAAGAAGAAGCAAAAAAATTAAAAATGGAAACAGGATTTGAACATATGTCAAAAATCAAATACTTGGGAATACATATTACAAAAAAAAACCCAAGCACTTTGATTAAACATAATTATCTTCCAATACTTCAAGAAATACAGGAAAAATTTGAAATTGGGCAAATTACAACTCTCATTTCTGGGCAGAATTGCTACTATAAAGATGAATATCTTGGCAAAGCTGTTGTTCCTATTCCAAAATTTACCAATACTGTTGAATTATAAATATTTTAAGGAAGTAGATGCTGTGCTTTCTACGTTTATATGGCAAGCTAAAAAGCCAAGAATAAAATTTAAAGTTCTGCAGGACTTAAAAGAAAGAGGACGAACGGGCTTACCAAAATGTTTACTATACTATACAGCTTCTGCATTGAACTGGATAAAGGAATGGATTACATTGCAAGATCAAGCACTTTTAAAACTGGGAGGACATCACCTAAGATTAGGATGGCATGCATATACATGGTATGGCAGGGGCAAAGATCAAACAACTTTTCTTGAGCATATTGTAAGGAAAGCACTATACCAGGTTGGGCAAAGGTTCCAGGAGCAATTGTATTAAAAAATCCCAATCTGGATAGCACCATTGGAAGCATTTACTCAACCTACCTTAATGGTGGAAGAATGGAGCTATACGTATAAAGATCTATTAACCAAAGAAAATAAATTTGAAAATATACAAGAGCTGAAGGAAATCGGTTTACAAACAGACTGTTGGACAATGTTAAAATTAGAATCAAGATTTTAAAAAGATAAAACAGTGCGGTTTTATGAGGGAAAAGCACAGGTGGATGAATTATGGATTTATACTAGTGATAACATTATACAAAAAGTATACTTTTTAAGAATATAATGTAGAACAGAGGTCGTCAACCCCCAGTCCGCGGCCTGGTACCAGTCCGTGGCCTGAGCCAGACTGGGCCGCAAAGACAGACCTCCTGGGGGGGCCCTCACACACACACCCCCACAGCGGCTTTGCGCACATATGCGCATGCCAGCGCCGGCATGAGTGCTCCCCCCTTTCACGCATGCACCTGAGCACCCGCGTGAAGGAGTGGGGGAGTGATTGTACGTGCGCTGGAAAATGTTTTATGATTGGGCCCAGAAACAGATATGAGTAGAGAAAATGAGTGGGGATTATGGATTTTAGTATCATATCAGAGTTATGACGTCAAGTGCATATTGAATACTGAATGAAAGCAAGTAACTTCCCTGTGTTTATGTGTTTTATTTTACCCCCTTTTCCCTTCCTGTTGTTGTATTTTGTGATGGTTGTTTGTTGTTGTGTTATATAATAATAAAAATACATTTTTTTAAAAAAAGATACATTATTGGCACTCTAGTTTTTTTCCATCAAAATGTAGAACAGTGAGTGATGAGCAGTTTCACCAGGACATTGCAACAATTGAGAAATGCTATCATTTCTGAAGCTTGCCCATAAATGCTTGAAGACAATTGCTGGGCAGTGACAAGAGATGTTCCATTTACTGAATATGAGAGACAAGCCAAGAAGCGCTGCATAGACAATGAATAGGATTAAACTATCTTACCCATTCCTACATACGCTTACAGGTGGAATCAACAGGAAGCTCTTACCTGTTGATCCAGGAGTATAGATGGTTTTATCTGTCTGGGTGAAGATATACCCCATCTGGTAGGAGACTAGAACCACCTTCTCCAGAGTGAAGTGAGTAGAGATGGCGTGGACAACAACATATGTCTTTTTCCTGGAATCCTTCTTGAGGTCTCTTGCGGAGAGCTGTGTGGAAAGATCAGGAACAAGAGAAGTAAATTATTCTGGCCTCTACCAGCATAACTAACAATGTCACAGAAATTGTATATTGGTATTTGCTAAGGGTGAATTTTAGAGCAGTTTTAGGAGTTGTGGCCATATTAGTCTGTGCAAGCATTTCAACAAGAAAGAGAAAACAAAACAAAAAGCAAGAAACACAAAACAAAACAAAAGCAGAAAAAGACATTGTAGCGCTTTAAAGACCAATTGCTATGTTTTCATGTAAGCTTTTATGGAACATTGGCCACTTCTTCAGACATATGAAGAAATACAGAGACTACATGGAAAAACGTTCACTTGTTTGAGCACTTGACTTTCAGCCCACCCCTTTCCTCCCTCAGGAGCAGAGTTAAGGAAATATATTTACAAGAACAGTGCAAAAACGCATATGCACAGGTCCTGTGGAAGGGACAATGGGCAAAGCAGAGGAATGAGAAGGTGGCTGACAGGTCCCATTTGCTCTAACAATCGGGTTGGGGAAAGGAGCATGCATTTTACTGGGAGGCCTAGAGACAAGACTCGGCTGGCTGGCGGGCAAGTTTGGGGAAACTACCAAGCTTGAGTTTCTAACAAGACTTCCCCCCCATTTCCCCCCTTTCTGTTACATGGAGAAATTGGCTTTCTGAGCACTTCTTTGCTGTAATGTTATTGTAACACGACTGTCAATATTACAAAGTTGATCTGAGGGCACACTTCAAAATTGTTAGCTACAGTTTTGAAGACAGTCCCAGCATTTATAACCATACCAAACATACCTTTATGAATGGAGTTGCTATCATGCCATTTTCTGGCTTCAGGGAAGCTTTGGTCTGGTTCAAGATGTACATCTTCTGAGGGAAATCTAGGATGGTGATTGTGACCTCTGTTTCAGCATTGAGTCCATGAGCCTCCACCACAACCTGCTCGTCGCTCTCTATCCTCAAGACACTGGGGGTGATGAGGGAGAAGCTATACAGAGAAACAATTGATGTGTTGAGGTTTGTGTTAATATTATTAGATTACAATTCCATGCAACAACTTTGGGTCCTCTTGTTTTAGAAAAGACAAGAAACAAATGCTTTAATTAAGCATAAAAACCATAAATACAGTGGTGCCTCACTTAGCGACGTTAATCCGTTCTGGAAAAAATTTTGCTCAGCAATTTCATCGCTAAGCGATATTAAAAAGCACACAGAAATGCATTAAAACGCGATTACTGCGCTCCTATGGGCTTAAAAACTCACCTTTAAGCGAAAATCCTCCATAGCGCCGCCATTTTGGCTGTCTCTTAAAAGAGGAAAAACAGCGGGTGCCCATTTTGTTTTCCCAGCGGCCATTTTGAAACCGCCGATCAGCTGTTAAAAAAGGGGTTGCTTTGCCATGATCGCTTCCCCGCGATCATCGCAAAGTGAAAAAACCCCATAGGGACCATCGCAAAAAGATCGTTTTTGCCATCGCAAGAACTCTGTTGCTAAGCGATTTTGTCACTCAACAGAGCGATCTCTATGAGAGGCACCACTGTACAGACAGAACAGGCCATGTTTCCATAGGCCTTTCTTCATGGTGCCCTGAATACTCTGTTGCTTTTCTTCTGTCACACTGGCTAGGGCCAGATACATTTAGCATTGTTTCAGAACAAGTGCTCTCCCAAGTGGTTCACAACATCACCTTGCCATAGTGTACAGTTTTCTTCACCTCGTGTTTTGTGTTTAGCATGCTCTGTTTTATTATTAGCCATTGGGAGGTAAACATAGGTTTAACTTACAAGTGTGATTACAACGGCTATATGAAGGTATCCACAGGAAGCAGCTGAATGTAGAGCTATTTAAAGAAAATATGAGATATGTGGTTTGAAGTACTGATAATCCCTTTCTAAGTAATATGTTGCTAAGTTAGAAAATTTATAGGGGAATACTGGGCTCACCAAATTCTCCTTTGTGTCTGGTTGTAGAATTAAGAAATTTCCCAGAAAATGTTAAAAGGAAGCTTTAAAAAGATATTAAATGAGCAGTGAGTTATTAGAATAAAAGACTGGTTATGGAAGATGTATAATAGAGGGTGAATAAGAGAAATACTGGGAGATGAGAGATTTGCACAATTGAATACACTTCTAACTGAAAACTGAAGGAAGGAATGGAGAAGAGGGCAGATTAATTATGATAATTTGACAAATTATTGAAAAAAGAGAGAAGGTAGAAATTAATAAAAATGGAAAGGGGATAATAAGCGTAATATAAGAAATGTTAATACAGGGTTGTTGTTCTTTCAAAAGCACGGCTTCAACCTTTTCTAAAACAAACAAAGAAATAATCTCCACCTCAGAAGTTCCTGGCTGGCTCTTTCCTTAGACAGTGAAGTGCCCCACTTTGCGCCATAAATTTCGCTTGAAAAGCTGCCAACTGGTGATATTATTCATGATTATTTAGATTTTGTGGCTCTGGGCAACAGAATGTTTAGACACTGTCTTTGAGCCTTTCCCAAATCCCCTGCTAAAAGGAGCAGAATCTTCCATTTGATGGATCTCTTGCAGCACAAAACTTCAGAAGAGAAATGCAGAGAACATTTTCCTGAAGAAATTTTTTTTTCTGGGTTAAGAAACAGAAGAACAGGGTGCGCCACTGACGTGTATTTTCTACTTACAGCTGGCTGTGAGATGGAGTTGTGAAACAGACCAGGAGAGCAGCTATCAGGTAGAGAGCCATCCCCTCCATCGTGATGTGGAAGGTCAGCAGAAGCAGGAAGGATTTCACTATTTATTCAAAGAGAGCACTTCAGGGCAGGCCCTATTGCAATAGCTCCGTATTTAATCAGTATATGGGGAGGAGTTTGTGGAATCTAATAATTTCTGATGCAACCATGAAAGCTGTCAAAATACACAGAGGTTTCTTTGTCCTTTTAACAGCCTCAGCAACACAGTATCTCTGTGCCGTCTTTAAAATTGTACAAAGAAATGATGCAATATGAAAACATCACTTGATCTGGGTCTATTTTAACCTGGCAAATGCATGCACTCCTCTGGAAGATTTACAAATTGAAACTTTAAAAAATCCCACAGACACTAAATACAAAAACCTATGACAATATGGTGATTTTAAAAAATGATACCCAAAAAAGAGAGAGAAAAGGAAAGGAAAAAATAATAATACAGTATTAACAGCATCTGGGAGACTCCATTGTATAGCACCAACCATATAACTATGTGTTCTAAACAGCATTTTAATTTTTGTTAACATTTTAGAATGTGAACGCGACTTGTTTTATTCCCCAGAGCATGGTCTCTGATTTGATTTCAGATTCAACTTTCAGAATCTTTTGCATTTAAGAATGAATATCTTTCCAATTTTTTTTTCTCTTTTTGCCAGTCCACCACATGTGATAGTATGAGCCTTCAGCTTCTGGGCCATTCCAGCAGAGACTCAAATAAATGTTTCCCATATTTTTTATGTTTTTGGAGTTATATACCATCAATAGTACATTTTAAACCAGTTTTCTCTCAAAGTTTGACTTGCAGTGAATGTTATATTTGTTGTCCATAGCCTCTCCCATTGACGGAAGGTTATCACTTTCCCTAGATTCTGCATCCTCTTTAGCATACTGATTTTTTAAGTGGCTCCATTTCTCTTTCAAATTGAAGGAATAGTTTGTATATTTGGCCTAATATCTGCTTGGATTTTGCATAATTATTATCTTCTTCATTATCTTGTGTAGCCTCTTTATATCTTGAAATTAATTTAAGATAAGATGGCCAGCTTATCTTTTTTTTTCCTTCTTCAATTATTCCTTGCCAAGATTTGATTCCTCCCTGTGACTCTCTCATCTCCTGAAAGGTTATAAGGTCATGTATTGTTCCCTCTTGCTTGCTGAAATATACATCCATAGGAGCCCTTATCAGTGATGGACTGATCCTCAATTTTAAGGAATCCCATGTTTTTAACAGGCTGTCCCTGATTGTGTGTTTATAGTGGGATTTATTTCTTTTTTGCATCCATAACTGGTTGTGTAGACTTTCACATTGATCAGTGGATTCCAGCTTCTTTAACCTGTCATTTGGATTTTTTGATCCAGTCTACAATCCATACTAAACCTGCAGCTTGACAACATAATTTAACATTAGGCACAGCCAGTCCTCCTCTTATCCTTGTTTTTTGCCACTCCATATGAATGTATTTATTTGTTTTTGACAGTCTTTTTTTTTAAAAAAAATCTTGAATTGTAATTTGAATCATTTGAAACAAAAAGTTTAGTTTTTGGCAATATATTCATTTTTATCGCTGACATTCTTTCCAGCCAGGAGAGTTTTACATCAGTCCATCTTCTTAGATATTTCTGTATTTTTCCCCATACTCTTTCATAATTATCCTTATATAGTGTTTTATTAATTCCTGTTAAATAAATACCTAGCTATTTTATTGGTTTATCAGTTAATCCACACCCTATATTTTTACAATGTTAACTTCTTGTTGTTTTGTATGAAAGTTTGTTATAATTTTGGCTTTCCCCCCATTAATTTAAAAACATGTCTGGAGTCCAAACTTCGCTATTTTTTCCATTACCTGTTGCATTGAATATAATGGATTGGAGACTGTGAAAACAACATCATCTGTATAACATCTTAGCTTCAACTCCTCTCTGTCTATTTTTAATCCTTCAGTTTGGCAGTCTTGTCTAATCTTGGTTGCAAAGATCTCCATTGCTAAAATAGACAAGAGTGATGACAAGGGGCAGCCTTGTCTGGTTCCCTTCTCAATAATAAACCCATCAGTTAAAACCCCATTTATTGATTTTTTAAAAAACTGTTGCTTCTTATGAATTCCTTGGGGTGAATTTTCAAACTTTGTGCCACAATTCAAATGCTGCAAAACTTTACTTAGAAAGCACCAGGAAATATTATCAAATGCGTTTTTTACATCTGAAAACATGATGTTTTATGTTGGTTTTTTTCTACACTACACTACAAATTCATTCCCATTACAAATCTTATGCTGTCTCTCTTTAGAATTTCTTCAAATTTCTGATACCTTAATTTTTTTGCTTTCTAAGTTCTTAAGTGAAAAAATCAGGCTTTTCATTTCCTTGATACATGTGATGGAAGACCTTGAAAATTTTGTACTTCTGTCCCATATACTTCCAGTAGGTTGGTTCTTATTTTATTCAATATAAGATCTCTAGTTTCTTGTATATACACTTGTTTAGAAGGTCTCTTGGGACTTTGTTCCTTGTTGCAAATTTGGACTTAATTCTGTAGATTTTATCACAGTCCAATAATTCTCCAGTCTTGAAATGCCCCCATATTAGTATGGAAAATGCCTCTTCCATGTCTGTTT